CAAAATAACAACACAATTTCACAAAAAATTAACGTTTTCAACTTAACTTCGCATCGAAGCTAAAAAGTTTAAGCTAGTGGGTATTGACAATAAATAAATAATATAAATATTTTTATAAATTCAACACTGTCACTATCTTTTGATAATTGATTAATAATTAATTTTTTTTTAATGATTGTAAACTAAATTTATTTTATGGGATATGGAGAAAAACTTTTTATGTGACAATCGCTATACGTTGCTGTAGTAATACTCAATCTATTAATTATACTTCTGTTGGCTTTAATTTTTTATGAGAAAAAGAAACAATAATATATATAGTAATGTATAACCACAAAATGTAACTAATCGTACTGTGTTAGTCAAAAATTAGATGTATTTTTCTATAAAATATAGTATACACTAATTTCGTAAACAAACAGTAAGGAGTACTATTGCAAACGAATTTAAAATTATGAAAATATTGGACTTATCGTTTTTGTTAACAATATTATTATTTTTTGATTAAGCGTTCAGACACGGCGTTTTATTCGAACTTTTTCTTTTCTTAAATAATTATATATTGAAATATTAATTAATAATAAGCGAAATTCATAGAAATAAACGATCTGTGTCTGTTAGAAGCAAAGAAAGTTAGTTTAAATTACTGAGCTTATTGTATAGCGGAAATTTTGCGAACGCGTAGGCCGTTTTAATAATAACAACAATGTGATAGTGGTTATTATACGTAACCTTCAACTCTACACCTATGATTACGTAACGTGATGGCTGCCTACAACTATAATATGCTACGCGTATATGTAGTGTGACAGTGGAATTCAACAATTACTCAAAATTTACCAAAGCGGTAGTATACTTCAAAAGCAATTTTTTTCAGTAAGCAGTGGTCAAATAAATCCCACTTGATTTTTTTTTTAACGCTGCACCGGGTTGATAACCTCTGCGGGGAGCCAAAAGTTGACACAGTTAAAATGGTTTATGATAAAATAAATTGTGACGCCGTTAAGATTTGACTGTGGAGTCAATTAATTTTATTTTAAGTTATAATAATATTATTATAGTTTATAATATACAAAAAACTGGTGAACCGTAAGGTGCGGATAAAAACAAAACAAGGCGCTGGTAAATAATACATGGCACATACGGCGGATGTAAGTCACAGATGAACTGGTTTACATAATCGCCGACGTGTCTCGCGGTGCTGCATCCCCTGACCTGTCCTATCTACCGACCGCCGGATAAGACAAACATATGTTATCGTCAACACTAATGAGTGCGACGGTGGACAGCTGATAATCACGACCGGATAACGTGCTAGTTCACTGTAAATGAATAGTGCGCTATTACGAGCCGTGTCAGACCATCAAAGAAATAAGACAAAATTTATTCAAAGACTCATTTCAAACTATAGTTAATAAATATTGTGCATCTACTTGCGACATGTGGACAGATAATTACAGTAAAAATAACTATATGTCAGTTACTTTACACTATGTAGACGATAACTCGGACTTAAAAAGTCGATTAATTTTTACTGGTCAATTTTTTTCAAATGAAACAAAAACTGGCGAAAATATAAAACATTTTTTACACAATATTTTTTTTCAAATAATTGAGGCTGCAAATGAAACTAATTGTGATTTACTATCTAATATAACATTTATTACTGACCAAGGAACTAATATGATATCTGCACTTAGAAGTTTTAAGCTTCTAAATTGCTGTGTATATTTGCTTAACACAGTTTTAAGAAATTTATTTGATGATAAATTTTTGAATAATGAAGATAAAGACGTTGAAAAACCTCTGGAACCTGTTACAATATTAATGAATGAATGTAAACATTTAGTAAGGTATATGAAAAGCAGTGGAAGGAATTGTGAACTTAACAAAGGGCTTGTACAAGAAGTAGAGAGTAAATGGAACACACGATTATTAATGTTGCAATCTATACAGCGTGCAGATTCCCACTTTATATACACTTTAAATACCCTTTCAGATTCGAATTTAATATAATATGCATTTGTCATAAATTTGATTAAATTTCAAAGCAGATTTAGCGCATGGCAAGAGAACATAGGCCAAGGATGCAATTTAAATGAGGGGGATAAATTATAATATTTTCTTCTATAAAAGCTAGAAAATTGTTATTATTAAGTTTGTACATTCATACAATACAATTTGCAGATTTATAATATATTTTGACCTTTATAATTATTCATTTAATATATTAAATTTTTTATTGATTGAATAAATAATGTAATAATTTTTAATAAATTTGTTTTACAAAAATCACGTCAACGCCAAATATCGACGGAACGATTAAGAACGATATTTCAATAACGTTTGTTGCTTACGAATGAACGAGGTTTATAAACAGGTTACATTAGTGAAAGACTTGCTCAAAAAATTAAAAAAAAAACATTTTAAAACATAAATAAACCATTTCAAATGTCCCATTACACAAATGTCAATTTTGAAATTATTGATCTATCATCTAAAAGGTTTTCCTAGTGGAAATTACCTACCAATCAATTAAAAAGCACAGTGCAAAAGCAAGGTAGCTCAATTTTTTTAAAAATTAAATTTTAATGCTTTTAAATTAAGATTAAAATGACGAATAAAAAAATTCTAGTTTTCAGCTTCTATAAAATTGTTGAAAAATAGAGTTATCTTGTTTTTATCTGAAGTCCTTTAGTTGTAACTTATATTAAGTTCTTTTTTCAATGTTAACTATGTTTTTATAATTGGTCTTGAAGAATAAAGATATTTTACTAGTACTTCCTAAATATGTTTAAATAAAACTCCTATATAATACTTTAAAATTAAATGATCTTTTCAGTAGCATACGCACCTCACAAAATTGTCTATAGGCCCAATTAAATATAAATACGGTCCTGATAAATATCCAAATTTTAAAACTCTTATGAGAGTTTTGTTTTCAATTATTGAATTAAGAATATTAAAATGTCTGCTACGTTTTAACGCACTATTTTATTTTAATATTTCGAAAAAAATATATACGGATTTTTTTTTCTTAAATAGTTAAAAATATATGCTTTTGCATTTTTATTTAGTTTTCTTCCAATTTCAGAAATTTATGAATTATTAAAATTATATTTTAGCAAATAGCTCTTAATTGATTTCAAGTATTCACATTAAGTGGAGGAAGAGTGCAACAGAGTAATGCATAGTGATAAAAATAACATAACCTCACCTCACCACCATTCTATATTAAAATAGCTATAACATGCAAAATATAAATTATTACCGAACAATCTTATTTTATTAAATAAAATTTTATTTTATAACATAGTTTAATGCTGTCATTAAAAATAAAATTTGACACCCTTATAAGGTGATTATTTTTTTTTCGAAATATTAAAATAAAATAGTGCATTATATCCTTTATTTCATCCTTTCTTTCTCCTAATGTATTTAGTTCATATTATAAGCTATTCGCCTTGGTACTAAGATCATATTTCTGGGATTAACTAAATTTTTAATTTTTAGGATATTATTGAATTCTAGTTTTTATATTTAAAAATTTCCGAAATATCTTGTAAGCTAAATTAAATATTTAACCAGCCTAACTAAACAAGAACCCTGAAGAGAGTCTACCATGGGCCTAGGCAAGTCAAAATCAAAACCAGAGTACCATGTAATGTTATAAGTAAGTTATAAATTATTATAACAACTATTTAATTTTTATTACAATAATTTGTTTATTTTACAAGTAATAAAAATCATATTAGATTTAAGAAAGGCAAAATAATCAAATAAAAGACAGTTAACTAATAATATTGTCAGTTTATATTAACAAAATATAATAAATAAACAAATAAAATAAATAATCAATGTAATCAATTAAATTAAAATAGTTAGATTTTAAAATAAAAAGGGATGTAAAATAAAAAATTGAAGAAATTGGAAAAGGATTCACGATTAAGGAAAGAGTCAATTAAATACATAGTCAAAATGTACAGTCATTAACTTATCAAAATTAAACCATATAGTGAGCTAACTAAAAAAATAATTAATTAAAATGTGCACAATTTTCAAAAATACAAGGAATAAATACTGCATTACAATGGCAATCCCAAGTTAAGATGAAGTTGTTGGTGTTGGTACCATGATAATTACTAAACAAAATTGAAAAAAATTACTCCATATCGGGGCTTTTAGTAGTCATGATGAAAAAAAATGTTTCACAGCTACCAGACTTAGGAAGGGTTGATGACGACAGTAACGTAACGAAACAATTGAACATGGTAGTGATTTATTATCTTATTTAATCCTAACTGATTTGTGAGGCCGAAGCGTTGGTTAAATGTTGTCAATTTGAAAAATGTATTTAAGTTAAATAAAACACAGGTAGTAGGAAAATCGACTGATTTTAATAACTAAATATGTGTGTATGTTTAATACTGAACCTAGATATTTTTAATTTGTTTTAATATATTTCAAGTACGCATTTATTCTATTCTATTTTGTTAAACATATTTACATATCTTATTTTCATGGAGTATTGTGTAAGGACTCTTTTGGTGTCGTTGTAAATCTATAGTAACGCATAATGAAAAATTTGTGGGATTAAAACTTGTCTACGACAGTACTGGTTGTTATTATGAAAATTTATCAGTTTTGAACTAGTTAATTTACACGATGACATACAAAAGTGTAACTTATAAATCGTTTAAACAAAAATGTGTTACGATTTTGCGACATTAATGTCATTTGTCACATATGTATATAATATTCGCAACAATATATAGGCAGTTTCACATAACTATTAGTGCTTCTGCTTTAGTCTCATAGTGTGAATTAGGCTCAATGCTGAAATGCTAAATTTAATGACACAGTTCAAAATTTGATATTCCAGTATCAAGTTCTTTTCACACGTATATGAGTTATATAAATTAGTTACACGTTTTCATAATTTTCGTTAACAGATTGCTAAATAGTTTTATGAATAGCACCATCAGTGAAATAAAACACTATTTTTCAGAGTGAAACTTTTTTTACTTCTGGTTTAATTGTTACAAATATTTGATTATTTCAATTCAAATAATTAATATATGTTATTTGTTATTATAAATGGTAATTTTCCCACTGATGTATACGATAAAAGAAATCCTGAAAAAAATTAATATAAATTTGAATATCATGTTTATGTAATGTAATTTTAATAAAATAGTATTATATAATAAGCATTCTATAGAACTTATAAACTTTAACATACCAAAATAAAAGAAGTGTCTTCATGTGGTGTTCTCACCTGGTAAAAATAATTTATTTTAGATGAAATACTCGAAAATAATTAAATAAAAAATAACAATCTTGTAGTAACTTTATTATAGTATATTTACTTTTTTAGTGGTTTGATCACTGATTTCTGATGGGTAACTCTGAAATTGTTTAAAAGTTTAACGATTAAGTGTAAATATTATAATTGAATTTATAATTTTCGTACAAATTGGCTAAATATATGACTATCATAAATATATGTTAATCTAATTCATTTTTTTAACAATAGTTGTGTTCTTGGATTATGTTCCATATACGAAGTTTATAATTCATTTTTAATATAAAAAAGAATTATTATTTTAGGAAATAAACCTTTAGTAGTCAACGATAAATCAATCACTCAGTATAGATTTATTTTCCGACAGAAGAGTTATCAAAAATTTTTCTTATAGATAACCCTACCCCTAGGATCTAACTCTTGTTACTATACTGTTATAATTAGAAGATTGCAAAATTTTATTAACTGTAAGAAACTTTATTATAATATATTTACTGTTTCAGTGGTATGATCTCTGATTTCTAATGGGTAAACCTGAAATTGTTTAAAAGTTTAACGATTAAGTGTAAATATTATAATTAAATTTATAATTTTCGTATAAATTGGCCAAATATGTGACTAACAAAGGTTATAAATCGTTTATGGTTTACAAAATTTGAAATATTATTTTTGAATTATTATAGTGATAGTTCTAACGTTTATGTGCAAAATCTGACAAAAGTGACTTAAAAAATTACAAATATTAACTTCATTATTTTAAAAAGTATATATTACAAACTCCGACAAAAATAATCTTCCCGAATTTGACATAACTAAATTTCGACAAAATTAATGAACAATATTTAAAAAACTCTGAAAAATTATACAAGTAAATCAGTATATTTAATTAGTCTTAGTTACATGAATAGTTGATGATTTTATGTATAGTTATATTTTAAAATGCACCCAATGCAATATAAATGTAACATACAACAATGTATACAACGTAGAACAAATAAGCACCAATAAATATTAGTGATAGCTACCATGTATATTTGAAAAGGTATTGGTCTAAATTCATGTTAATAATTATAATTTTGTGATATCCACATGAATATTTATCTCATTCTAGGGCATTATTACTAAAAATTTTATAAGGAAATTATTAACAATGTCTAATTAAAGCTCGTCTAGTTTTTAGCACAATAATTCGAAAAAATTATATATTATATATTTTATAAATGATTCTATATACAATTATTTTTTAAAATGCACCTAATGCAATATAAATGTATACAAACAACGTAGAACAAATATGCATGAATAAATATTAGTGATTTTAAAATTTCAATTATTATTTTAGGAAATAAACCTTTAGTAGTCAATGATAAATCAATCACTCAGTATACATTTATTTTCCGACAGAAGAGTTATCAAAAATTTTTCTTATAGATTACCCTACCCCCAGGACCTAACTCTTGTACTATTTACTTGTATTTATTATACTGTTATAATTTGAAGATTGCAAATTTTTATAAATATCATGTTTTTACTACATATTATTTTAATGTTTTCTGAATCAAACAATATTGTCCTTACCAAAAATTAAAAATTTTCAATAGCTACTGAGTAAACGAGTGTCTTATTCTTAATGAACCCCTCTGTATATTGAACAAGGTCAATATGTTAAAAATTATATTTTTTTTAAGTTGTTTACTCGCACAGATAAGTGACGACTGAACGTTTTAAAGTTAAAAAAATAATTCGTTACGTTAACATTGCTTCTATGTATTTTATATATTCGATGTATCTATGTAATTTTATCGAATATAAAATCGCAACAACTTTTATTAATGGAGTTCCAATAATTATATATTATTAACATTCCAACTGGGATGTAATATGCCTAAAATCTAAATGTTTAGATTGCTTTTTTGTACTTGCTTTTCCTATACTTTGCACTATCATTATTTTGGAAATATATCGATGCTTTAATTCAGAACTACAAAAAAAAATACCAATTTTATATTATAATGAATTAAAACTGAATTTTTATATAACTACCAGAAAAATGTACAATTTAAATTTTAAAATGTTCCCTTATTTACAGTAGCTATATTTGATTAGGTCTATAAACTTTATTCGTCTTTGTCTTTTTCCTCGCCTTAACCCCAACTACTTGTTGCCAACCACCCTTATCCTAAACTTCCATTTGAAACATCATATCAGCCGTCCTCATATTGCATTCAATAACATCCATTTTTATATCTCTTTTTTGATCTTCCTCATTTTTTTCTTCTTTCAAAATTAATTTCTATAACTGATCTTAAAGCTTCCGATTCCTATCTCCTCATAATATGATCAAACCATCTAACATGTAAGTCTATTTTCTGTCCACTTATCCACGATTGACGCTACGCCTATAATCTCTTTTATATGTTCGTTCCTTATCCTATCTTCTCTAGTCACTCCGCTCATCCATCTAAGAATTCTCATTTCTGCTACACTCATTCTCAGCTCTACTTTCTTATCAACTACCCAACACTCTGAACCATACATTATAGCTGGTCTTTCTTCAGTCTTATAGAGCTTACCTTTCAGCCTCATTGGAATTCTTTTATCACATAAGACACCAGGCGCTTCTCTCCACTTCAACCACCAGCACTTTATCAAGTGTCTTACATCCTCGTTAATATCATCGCTCTTTTGCATAACTGATCCTAAATACTTAAAACTATACATCTCTCCTATCACGCCCTTGCCTACTGTCACTGATCACCTCATTTCTTCTACCTCGTGTTCTCCTTTGTCAAATTCGTACTCTATATATTATGTCTTACTCCTATTTATTAACTTTTTTCTTAAAGAGCTGATTTCCATACCTCTATCTTTTGATGAATTTCCTCCCTATATTCTCCTATTTACACTACATCGTCAGCAAACAACATGCGCCACGGCACCTCTTCTTGTATTTCTTTAGTAATTTCATCCATCATTATAAAAAATAAGTAAAGGCTTAAAGCAGAACTTTGGTGCACTCCTACTTTTACCCAAATACCATCTGTTACTCCTCCCACACTTTTTAATCTGGTATAAGTATCATCATACTTATATCCTTTATTATATTAATGTACGTTTTCGGAACTCCTTATCTCATTAAAGTCCACTTTAAAACCTCTCTCAGCACTTTATCATACGCTTTATCCAAATCTATAAATACCATACACAGTTTTTTCTTCTTTTTCCTAAACTTTTCTATTAGTTGCTTCAGACAAAATAGTCGCTCCACTGTTGACTTACCAGTGATACGAACACGTATGATCATGGAAGGGCAGACTGTACACATAAAAACTTTTGCAATTCACAGTCAATGTACCATAATAATATATCCTTAACGCCAGTTGAATTTTTACCATCATTGCGACCATTACTCTAGTCTTATGTTTAACTTAACTTATCTACCACGTAAATAGTGTGTGTCGCCATCAGCTCCCTGTTGAAATATATCATATCTAGGTGTCCAGTAGGTTGTACTATTTATTTTATATATCTTTACTTAATAAATATTTATATCGTTGTTAACCAAAAATGTTATATATATTGTAGTGCGACCCTTAGTAGTTCCTCTATGGAAATATAAATTAAATAGGTAACCTCAGTACCTAAAGTAGATATAGCCTAGCCAGCTATCCCCCATTGGTCCTTTAGAATACTATTAACGGCCATTTAGGCTCAACTCCTAAATAGCGACGTAACACTAGGCATAAATCCAAAATGGTTTATAGATACCAATGTCTCATTTCCTATTCTCTTATCTAAACCTTTTATCAAATTTTCATACTATGACTCATAAGCTTTATGTCTCCATAATTTCCACACTTTTGTATTTCACCTTTACCTTTAAATATCGGCAACACTATTCCTCTATTCATTTGGAATTTTCCCTTCTAATAAGATTTTATTTAAAAGTTCCTTTAATCACGTTATTCTAATACCGCCTAATATTTTCCATTAGGTCATAAATATTAATTGTTCAATTAGGAACAACAACATAAAGTCTATTTCAAAGTCTTGAGTGGTTTTAGTTCTGCACGGGTCGTCGATATATTTCCAACCATATTCCATATCCTTGGCTTATTGAAAACATTATAACTTAGATATTATAAAAATTAATGATACGAGTTTTATTAATAGTTCAAAATTATATATTTACTGGTGTTCTGTAATTTTGAACCAATGAAATATCAGTTGCGATGGGCTGACAGAATTTCTGAAAAATATTTCATTAATAAATTTAAAATTATGGGTGACACATTCATTGTATAACTCGCATAAGCACACAGAATACAACTTTTGAAATTGCTAAATTATTAGACCGTAAAAATATCTTCATATTACATTATATTATAAATATAATTGTCTATCCCTAAGTTGAACCACCCTAAATTGCATCTAGAAGTGTAAAAAAAAAAAAGATGATCTATTTTATTCTTAAGTTTTATGTATTATAAATGGACGTCATCATATTAGTCTACGGTTAAATAAACATGATGTGCTAATGCATAATACCAGACAATTTTAGTACTTCTATTAATATTGTAATATAATATACCTGTCCCAATCTATCAATAAAATATTCCATATGAACATGTTCCTGTAAATATGTATTTATTTAAAACAATAAAAATTTGCACACGCCTGTATTTAATTTTTTTTTATAAAAGAAATACAGAGTGATCCATTTAACATTGACCAGCAAATATCTTATCTTATCTAATATGTGTCTTTACGAGCCATCATAACCGCTGCAATTAACTACCTGTATTACAAGTCTACCCGTTTTATACATATATATAGGTAAAAAAAATCAAAACTTTAAAGTGAAATAACATGCAAACTAATCGACTTAAATGAAAAATTCAAACGCTAAAAATTATAAAAAAAAAAACTCTATCAATATATCTAACTAAAAATATATGTTTCCATTTGAAAAAAAAAAGTTGGTACCCTTTTAAGGCATAAGGGATGAACCTAAAAATTATCTGATCATGGATAAATGTTGAGTTTTATGTAACTAAAATAATTTAAAAAAAAAATTATTAAAATAATAAATAGTTTTTGAGATATTTGCTGGTCAATGTTAAATGGATCACCCTGTATACAATGATTTTTTTATTATACCCCAATTAATTACTTACAGAATAATAATAATTCAAAATTTTTTAGCTTCGATGCGAAGCTGAGAAGATATTAATTTTACTATGACGTCTTTTTTTTTTATTTATTTATTTTTTTTATTTCTCAGCTCTCACCGAACCGATTTCTTTCAACGATACGTCAAAAGATCACAAATCGTATCTAGTCAAAGACATTACCCTCAAAAATTGAAAAACTTCCCCCGTTCTCCGTAAATGGGGGAAAACCTCCAACAAAATTACAAATTTAAAAATAGCTAATTATTGAAATTTTTTTTTCTTAAAACTGCCATAATTTTTTGAAAAATGAACAAACTTAACTTTTTTCTTAGATGCATTATGTTTTTACCTATCATTTAGTATATCTTTTTTATAAATTTGACCCTTTACCTGCCCACTTGGGGGATTCAAAATGACAACTTTTTCACAAAAAATTGAATTTTTCAACTTAACTTTTTAAAGTTTTCCGGAAATACTGACACTTTTATATATATCTTAAATTAAAGCTAATGCAATATATTTTAATATTAAAAAAAAACATTCGGATTTTATTTTGTTTTTATGGTTAAAATAGCTACTGTATTCAAAAATATGCTATTTTTGTGTTAAAATTCATGGTTTTGTATTTTAGTTTATTATAAAGGGATTACACTGATTTTCATAAATATTATAACAATCTAATTGACATAGTAATTTGCAATATACTTTATTATGGAAAAAAAAATTTCATGGTAAAAACAGACATCAAATTTAATAAAAAAAATACGATTTTTGTAAAAATATCTTTATTAACACGCTTATATTAGTTTCACGTGTATGATGTGTGTTTGTTGTTTGTAAATCTCCACGCGCCACGTGTTATTATATCGCGTGTCCCGTCGTCTATGGCCTTGAGACTAGACTGTCGTAACGCATTCCCCCCCCCCCCCACCGCTTAACAATCGCCGAAAACACTATATTTCTGTATAATTTTTGGTTTTCATACCTGTACATGTGGGCGTATCATCAATATTATATATATATATAAAAAAAATTTTATTGTTTATTATTTGATATAAACATTTAAAGATTCAAATTTTTTTGAGTTAATATACATGTATAATACATAAGGGATTACAAATACAGGTAGCTAATTGGTTTTTTATGATGATATTAGCAAGCATATAGCCTTTATAATCAATGGTAATAAGACACATTGTTGTGAGTTTATAAACAAACTAACTGGCAATACAGAAATTATATCCATTATTAGTGATAATTAACAATAAACACTCCGTGACTGTAACAACAATGTCATAAAAAACTAAAAAGCGAAAAATAAATATAGTTAAAAAAAACTGAAAAACAAGCTTTTAAAGCATATCGAACTAAAAAGATAAAAATAATTTTTAAAATAAGCTTATAACAAAATTCCAGCACAGGGGGGCCGTGGCAAAGTGGTAACGTGGCATAGTTGGATCAAGTATAATGATATCTGACAGTGATTAAAATCACTATCAAAATAAAACGCTTCGATGCAAATCTTTAGATAATGTTTAATTTAAAAAAAAAAAACATATCTTAGTAAAACCAATACCTTCTCAGTTTCGCATCGAAGCTAATAAATGCCAAGACTTTAACTTTAACTTTAATTCCAAAAGCTACATGATCTGCTATTTCCTTATTAATATCATATTTAAGATAAAGTATGTTAAATGTAAAAGGGGTTATTAAAAAATATTATTTCTCATAAAAAAATTATATTGATCCATACACTTTTCAATAAATTATAGCATTATAAAGTTAAAAATGTGAAAAATAAAATCGAGAATGTTCACACAAATATAGCATTAGGTAGCCATTTTCATCATGAAGACAAGTCCAGAGGTCAATTTTTTTTTTTCTAATAGAGTATATTATATTTGCTTTAATTTAAGATATATATAAAAGTGTCAGACCTTCCGGAACATTTTCAAAAGTTAAGTTGAAAAAGTTGATTTTTTGTGAAAAGTTGTTATTTTAAATCCCCCCCTGTGGGCAGATTAAGTGTCAGATTTCCAAAAAAACTATACCAAATGATAAGTAAAGACATCAATCATCTATTAAAAAAAATATATATTCAAATGGTCATTTTTAAAAAAGTTTTGGCAGTTTTTAATAAAAAAAAATTGAAAAAATTTCGATAACTAGCGATTTTTAAATTTGTAATTTTTTTGGATGTTTTCCCCATTTACGGGGAACGATGGACATTTTTTCAATTTTTAAGGGTAATGTCTTCTACTAGATACGATTTGTGATATTTTGACGTATCGTTGAAAGAAATCCGTTCGGTGAGAGCTGAGAAAAAGTGGTAACAGACACAAAAAATAAACACATAATAGTAAAACCTATACCTTCTCAGCTTCGCATCGAAGCTAAAAATGAACGAAAAATACTAGTATTATTGTGAAAAAAAGCGTGGGGGCTTTGTGCTATAATTTTTGTATATTGAGTGCGCTTTTTTTAAATATGAACACATATATTGAATTTAATAAAATATTTGAGTTTTTAAATTAATAGTAAATGGCATTTGAATTTTTAGTATAATATACAAGGAATTACAAATACAGGCAGCTACTTGGTTTTTTATACATTACTTTCACAGTCACGGATTGTTTATTATCAATCATGATTATAAATAGATATACTTTCTATATTGTCAGTTAGTGTATTTATAAACTCACAACAATGTGCCTTACTATCTTTGATAATATCAATGCTGTGTACCCGCTAATATCGATGTCATAAAAAAAACAATTAGCTACCTGAATTTGTAATCCCTAGTGTATTATACATGTATATTAACTCGAAAATTTGAAACTTTAAATGTTTTTATCAAATAAACATGCGCACAATGGACCAACAGGTCTGAGTGCATGGGCATTATGTCCACCTCGATAATAACTATCAAATAAACAAATAAAGTTATACTAAAAATTCAAATTACATTTACTATTATATTAAAAACTCAAATATTTTATTAAATTCAAAATATGTGTTCCCATTTAAAAAAAACATAGTTGACATCCTTACCAGGCATAAGGGATGAACTTAAAAAGAATTACATAGTTAACAATTCAAGAATAATGTGTCACTAAAGATAATAAAAAAAAAATGTTTTAATTATTATTTTTCTGTAAGTAATTGAATGGGTTATGATAAAAAAATCATCCTGTATAGTTATATCCCATATTAATGATAACAATATCACAAATTAAATTTTCTAAATTAAATGTATTAAATAATGTCATTTATTTACTTTTGCAGATAAGCAAATAAAATTATTAATCATTAAATATGATTATTAATTAAAATTTATGTTGAAAATTTTAGAAATAAAAATGTTTGCCTACAAATTTAATATTGTAATGTTCCTTTATTAAAAATTAAATTAAAATGAACTTGTATACCTCTTAATTAGTTTATAGTATCATTGTTGTTATATGACTTCACACAGCAATAACCTACATAATATTAATATTATTTAATAATATACCTTTTCTATGGGTACTTCATTAAATTGCCTAGTTGGTTGTTCCTGTAAATATTTATGTATTTTATAAATAATAAAAAATTGCACTAGGGCCTGTATTTAATTTTTTTTTTACAAAAGAAATATATGTTTATATCCCATACTAGGCTCCGCCTAGCTGGGGTTCCGCCACAGACTCGGATCATATGAGCATTATGCGCCTTCGGAGCGTAAGCCTCTTCGGGCCGTCATCATAAGTAAGCCACATATTCCGGTAGGAGTACCTGGCTACACTGGGCACGATAAGTGTTTTGCAGAAAAAATATTAAATCAAAATCAGTGAACAAAAATATATTAAAAATGTTATTACTAAAATCAGGAAAATTCAAAAAGAGAATATTTGAAATGTATATATAACATATAATATTCCTCGATAAATTATAGTGCTATATGCATATGCAAAATAGTGTCCTAACAAAAATACATATTACACCATATAATTAAGGTTCATAATAAACGTATGAGCAGAAATGAATCAATGCGCATATTAAAACCATGGACTTAAAAAAAAAGCTCGTAAAACGGTGAAAAATGAACGGATTTGATTGATTTCTTTTATCATATCTCAGGAATGTCATTGGGCGGGTCTGATGAAAATTTCAAACCTAAAAAGTATTTTTTTCAGAAAAGCGTTTTTTTCCTTGTTCTATTATACAGGGTGGCCCACCACTCACTGACAACTTAAATTACTTTTGATCCAGTTAATATTTTTAGTTGATTCTTTTTTTAAATAATAGTTATACGTCAGGTCTATAGCAATATCTCAATATTTAATTTTTTTACATTTTATTAAAAATATTAATTATTTTTAAATTTTAAATAAAATGTAAAAAAAAAATCTAAGATAGCTATTTTGTAGAGTAGAATTTAAGAAAAATTTTAGTAAAAAAATATCTTATTAATATTCAATAGTAAATATTCTGTAGCGTTTTGAAGTTTGTGAAAATTTTAATTTTCATGTACTATTTTACGGNTTGCTATAGACCTAACGTCTAACTAATATTTAAAAAAAAAATCAGCTAAAAATATTAACTGGATCAAAAGTTATTTAAGTTGTCAGTGAGTGGTGGGCCACCCTGTATATACTATCTTTATGAAAACAATGCCAAGAAATAAAAAAAGATCTTTATTAAGTACTAATTGAATTAATAATTGTTATAAATTCATTTTAAAACGTTTTTTTTTTTTAATTTAATATATTTAAGTTATGCCATTTATTTGCTCGTGCAGATAAGCAAATATAATTAATTAACGATTAATTATATGATTATCAAGCAAAATTTATGTTGAAAATATTATAGTAAAACATTTTTAAAATATGTTGTATGTTCAGATAATAATGGCATATCTTATTAGGCTAGAAATGTGAAGATAGGTTTCAAGCGCTGTCAAATTTTCACTACAATTAATATTTAGCCCACAAATTTAATATTGTAAGGTTCATTTTATTAAACATAAATGATAATTAAAATGAACTTGTATACCTCTTAATTAGTTTATAGTATCATTGTTATTATATGACTTCACACAGCAATAACCTATATAATATTAATATTATTTAATAATATACCTGTTCTATGGGTACATCGTTAAATTGCCTAATTGGTTGTTCCTGTAAATATTTATGTATTTTAAAAACAATAAAAATTTGCACTAGGGCCTGTATTTAAATTTTTTTTATAAAATAAATGTTTGTTTATATGCCATATTTATGAAAACAATGTTACAAATTAAAAAAAGAAATCTTCATGAAATAATAATTGTATTGTTAATTGTTATAAATTGATATTAAAGCGTATTTTTATAAAATTAAATATATTTAAGTTATGTCATTTATTTACTTTTACAGATAAGCAAATAAAATGAATTGATGATTAAATATGGTTATCTAGCAAAAGTTGTATTTAAAATATTATAAATAAAAAATGTTTAATGTTTTTATAATTACATGTTCATTGATTAAAGATATTTCTTTCTTCATTGGTTTGGAATCCTAGAATTATATTTATACGATTGATAAATAAATAATTTTACCAATTTTGCATTCATTAATTATGTTAAAAGATTTAATTATTTATATATTTTTAAAGATAAAAATAAAATAATATAATTTTTTTCTATTTCTAATTTTCTCAATGTTTTATGTTCTTTAGAACTTTTCTTACAAAATTATATGATAACAACTTAAGAATTAGTATTAAATGAGTTAAAAACATTTTAATACATTAAGTGGGTATGCAGTGCAAACACCATTGGAGCTACTCAATCAATTTGTTTAAAGGCCAGTAGCTAAATAAGTATTTATCATTAAGTTACTAGTAAACATATGAAATGAAACAAATTTGGTGTGAATAATTGCAAAAAGAGGTTGTAACCTTTTTTACTTATAAAATCTTATAAATATTTTATTATAATAGACAAAAATAAAATCTTTAAATATTGCAAATTTCTAACATATTATTAATATTATTTAAAACTATATCTGTTCTATGGGTACTTTGTTAAATTGACTAGTTGGTTGTACCTGGAAATATGTATTTATTTAAAACAATAGTATATTGTAGTAGTAAATACATAATTATTTAAATATTTGCAAAATTGCTGTATTAACATAAAATTAAATTTAAAAAAATATTCTGTATTCCCCTTTTTTATATTTATAATATCTTATAGTACCTACAATTATAAAATAAAATTAATAATTGTATATAATTTAGACTTATCAGCATCATAATTCAAAAAAGTTCTCTCAATTATATTAAATATGATAAAAACCCTCAAATATCTGCTTAATCTAAGTCAGACTTCGTTAAATTATAATACTGAAACTTGAAAATTTACATTTAGTTGTAGTTTAAGTGATTATTTATATTCATTAAGTTTTGATATTTAAGAAATTATGAGTTTACATTTAAAGAATTATTTCTTCTCATATATTGGCACTAGTAATTCGTACAATGAGAATATCTTATATGTTTAAGATTGACACGGCCCGCGTCGCTTCGTTATACACGATGCACCGCGACTCGTGCCACCTTTACCAGCCGTCGTCCTACTATGAGTATTTGACTGACCAACACCGCGTGCCATACGCCAAGGTGCAAAGTCCGGCAAATGCCGCACGGCCGACGACGACCCGCCGCAAATGGTGCGAGAGTCTTCATCCCGTTGTGAAAGCGACAACGTCGACCAACCGAACCGCACCCGCGCACCGTCGCCTACAACGCTGCTAACCATTTTGCCGTCCAAGGATTACGCCGAACATCGCGTCGTCGACGCCAGCGAAAGTGCCGCGATATTATGCGAAGATTATTATTACTGTGTTTATCTTTTCGGTTTGTTTTATTTTTGTTAAAATAATCTGTTGTCGCTCATTTAATAAACGGCCCACGGGTCTCTACCCTCAACACCAGTGTCGACCACATTTTTGCGACGAAAGTCGTGTCAATATATATCTTTGATTAATGTTAATTGATCAAAAATCGTGTATATTGGGATGTAGATAATTTTTCCATATTTAACTAAGTATATCGATCTACGACCATACAATTCTTGAAAATCTTTTATAAACGTGTTCTTGGATGTCTTATTAAAAGTGTATTATCATTTTACGAACTACTAGAGATAATAATCCAAGTAAAATTAATTCCTTAATATTAAATTTATAATTTCTTAAATGTTTCAATTTAATTATGGTAAATAATTACTTAAACTACATTTTAAAGTAAATTTTTTAATTTCAGGATTATAGTCTAATAAAGTCTGATTTGGATAACGCAGATGTAAGTTTAATATATTTATGCAATTTGTTTCACATTATTGACTTATTAGTATTTAATGTGAATTTTTTAGCCATCTATATCAAATTAGTTAAAATTATATTTATATTTTTGTTATTAGATTATCAAGATAAATTAACTATTTATTTAATTATTTATAATTTTTACAATGAATTAAAATAAAAAACTTTGCCCATTACAATCCAGGACATGCAAAATACATTCTATATACAAAAAAAATTACTTGATCTTCTGCTACAAACCACTTTTGATGACATTTTTCGACGAATTTCTAAAAAAAAACATTTGATCAGTGTTAGTACTACAATTTTTTTTTCAGATTATATTTACAAAATCTATGTGTATAAAAATATATTTATATATTATTTTACATATATTTTAGCAAATATTTGTTAACCTTAGGCAAAAGGGATTAAAGTATAAAAATTTGAAATATCAATTTTTATTCTACTTCACCATTATACTCATAAGTTTTTATTAATCAAACAATAATAACCACGAATTAATGTTATGTCATTTTAAATTTTAAAAAATAGAATTACTGTTTCTAATACATTTTATTTTATTTTATACTTCCAAACAAAGTTCGTACAAAAAACTGAATAAGTATATAACTATTTTAACGAAATTAATTCTTATCAAATCTATATAACTATACTTAAATACAGTTAATATACAGATGTCTTAGACCTAAATGATAACACTTAAAACTTTTGATCCAATTATCAATTTTTTTTTTCGTTTTCTTTTATAAATTTTTCAAAAAATTATATGAAATGAAAGGAAAATTCACAAGATTTTTATAAAAAAAATTATTTTGATTAGTTTATTTTTTAACAAATTATGGCAGTTAAAAAAAAAAAAATTTTAAATGTCAAAATTTATCGATTCTAAAAATCGTAACTTTTTTGGAAATTTGACCTATTTATAGGGAACGGGGGAATCTTTTTCAATTTTTAAGTGAAATATCTTCAACTAGATACGATTTGTGATTTTATGACGTATCGTTGAAAAATATTAGTTCTGTGAGAATTGAGAAAAAGCGGTATCAGATATAGAAAAAAAACATCATAGTAAAATCAATACCTTCACAGCTTCATCGAATCTAATATAGGTTTAATCTGATGGACAGTACAAAACCTAATTTAATTTTAGGGTTTTAGGGAGCTAATTTATCACCGGGGGGGTTAAACCCCCTCCCCATATTTGCATCTATTGAACCAAATGTGATGTTCAAAATGTCCATCCTGATCAGTGCCGTAGACTTGTGAGCTAACGAAAATGGTCAGAAAAAGGGATGGCCAACCGTTCGCTACTGACGAAAACTTCCAAAACATTTCATGGTCCGCAGTTATATTGTATAATAACTGCCGACGTATATGCCCGTCTGCTGTGCTATGATTTCATCACCGTCCAATTTCCTTTAAATTCCAAATCGGAACTCCCTGTAGATTGTCAATATATTAACTACCGTTGCATACGTCATTTAATAGTCTATTTAAAAGAATTATCATTATAGTAAAATTAATACTTTCTCAGCTTTGCATCGAAGTTAAAATTAAAATAAACAAAAAGATAATTGTATAATGTGATAAAAGCGTTGTGAGTTAAGTCTGAGACAGTGTATGACTATACAATTTTTAGTTTAAAGCACTATTGCGTTTTCATTACTTTTTTCGATTTTCTATCATAGTTTTGAAATTTCAACAATAACCTTTATACTATATTTTGGTAAATGATAAAAATAACAAAAAAAAAAATTAAAATTTTGATAAAGAACTGATTTTGAGTAATTTTTTACTAAAAATAAAAAGTTGGGCCTGTGTTTGTTTATATAAAAATTTATATTGCATTTTTATTCATTAAAATTTTAAATTATCAAATAGTAATTTAATAATGAATAATATATTATTTTTTAAATTTTCCGATGAAATTTTGATGTATTTATATTTTAACAATATTTTGAAAATGAATTAACAATTTTAAATTCTTCTATGATTAACTTAATAATAAGATAATGAAATTTACATTAAACTTCATATCGCTGTCTTGACGCTTATTGATGGGATCTCGAAAAATCTGTAGAATAAATATAATTAGTTTTTTGTCATGAAATAATATATTAAAATGTATACAGGTTGGAAAATGATGTTTTCCCAATTCTACTTATATTTGGACCAGCAAATTTTTTACGTTATATTATTTTAAAAATAAACTATTTAAAAAAATGTTTGATTACATTTTTTTAGGAATTTTAAGTGCATAAGTGGTTATATTATTTTAAGCCTTTATATCCTCTCCCTTGCATATAAGGGTTTCAACTTTATTTTTAATGACAACAAACATTCATGAGCCTTATAAAATAAAACATAAAGATTTTATTATGAAAATTACTGGTCAATAACAACTTTTCGATAATATTATTTAGGAAGTTTTTAACATTTTATAATATAGACGCGGGTATGACACAACATTCATCACTAAAAATTGCTCAAGAGCACCAATGTATTAAAATAGCAATTGATAACAGATATATTAAGAACTAAATGACACAAAAAAATACCAAAATTAATTTTTTTAAATAATAATTATTTTAAGAAAATTATGTTGCTAGCGTTGACAAACTTAGATTTCCATTTAAAAAAACTTGTATCATCAAAATTTCATATTACATGTTGATTTTTTTCTTAATATTTTTGTAAGTTTTACTTAAGGTTATATATAGGGTCAGACTTTTAATTTGTATAGCTTTTAGTAAATTATAAATAGAAAACCCAATCTTTTAAAAAAAAAAAAGTAGCACAGTGTGGTCGTGGCAATGTAGGAACAAGTAAAGATGATATCTGACAGTGATTAAAATCACTATCGTAAGAAAATACTTCGATGCAAATCTATAGATAGTGTTTAAGAAATTGGTGGATTACTCCAAAAGCTAAATTAGATCCTATTTTTTGGTTCTACTTCAACTGCCATTTGCACATAGAGAATAGATTGTCGGGACAAATTCTTTTTTAATTTATAGTACGTAACATAAGCTTAAATTAATCATATGTTTAAAAGACACAGTATCTCTAGAACATTTTCAAAAGTTAAGTTGAAAAAGTTGAGTTTTATAAAAATTTTGTTATTTTAAAACTCCCACCTGTGAGCAGGTTAAAGGTTAGAATTTCACATCAGAACTAAAATGTCGAATGATCTAATTTATTTAATATCACTTTCATTTCAAAAGGTCTTGAGCAAGTGCCCCAGTATTCCCTTAATAAGATACTTAATATAATTAACGTATATTTACATTTGATATTTTCTTATTTTCGATATTATTCAGTTTATCTAAACGTTGCTAAAAATTAATATTAGTACACAATATTAATAAAGATGACTAAATTACATAAAAATATTGTATGATTTAACCTGATGATAATATTTAATTTAAACAATAATAATAAGTTTGTTTTGGAGGTTAATCAAATTATTTATTCCTCCAACATTATACATTTTGTTTTTTGCATTAATTTATATAAAATTAGTTAAAACTAAATATATCATATTTTTAATTAGATTTTCAATTTCAATATTTTTTTTTTAACTAAATTTCTTACAATGAAATTAAATTTAAAAATTTGTTCAACAAACTAAAATATACTATAAAAAAAAGTTACTTGTTCTATTTCTTCAGTTCGTATTCTATTTTTAACTTCTGTTATGTAATTCTAGAGAAAGTATTTCAAGAGTATTAATTAGCACTATAAAATGTATTTTCACATAACATTTAAAAACATATTTTATACAGAAAATCTTAACAAATATATAATTATTCTATTCAAATTTATTCTGATCTAACCCATATTTTATAAATTTTTATTTTGCCATAGCTTTATAAGAAATAATTTTTTATTATTCCAACAATATATTGCGTGATTAATAAAATTGTGCATTATCATTACTATTATTGTTTCTTTATGCAAGTATACTCATAAAAATAATTATTAAGACACAAAAAATTACTTCAAAATGTTCGTTGGTGTACTTCAAAAGTTTCTGATTATCTTTAGTTTTCTATAGAATTAAACCAAGATTTTATAATTTAAACTTTCAAATCTGAATAATTATTTATAATATAGCTATTTAGATCTATCATTGTCATTAAAAATAAAATCAACTAATTAAACGAAATGGAATGAATAAAAGCTTTTTACCTAGACTTAAAGATAGACATACATAAAATGTATACTAAAATGTTCCTTGTTTTTAAAACTTTGAAATCTCACAAATTTTTTTAGCCACTTTAAAAAACACAATAAGAAGCAGCACATCCTAATACGTGGCTAAAATTGTAAAGTATCAGTTCACTACACCTGTTGCATTTCGAAATAAATTTACGATTTTCAATCATTTATAATTAAAAAATAATAACAATACCTAAATCGTATACGTGGTCATACAATAATAGAATCTAGATTATAAACTCATATATTTATTAAAAAATTGTAATATTATCGAACGATTTCATCTATAGCAATAAAACGATCGGTTCAAAGACATTTTTATTCGTTAGTTTTATTTTGTAAAATTTAATTTTAAACAATTTTTGTATGAAATTACATATAGTTCATCATATATGAAGGAATATTCGTAAATATGCCATATTTTGGGAATTTTACAAAATATTACATATTTTGTAATTTTCCCGGAAAACTATCGAAGTTAGAAGAAAAACTGTAAGGACTGAATTCATACAAAACAATTTAGTTTCAATAGTTTTTTTCGTGAGAGCGCTAATTTACGAGTTAATTACTAAAAACTAAAAAACTTCCCCAAGTCAGCACGATTTATAATTATCTGATGAGCCTAATAATAATATTGTTCACAAAAGTGACCTTTAACCATAAAATATTGAGTTTAACCATCTTACCCCTCCCTAAATTGTTGGAATATAAATAAAATAAAATTTACAAAATTTGGTCAACATTGATGAATCCTAAGAAAAATAAATTTAAAAAAAAACTAAAAATCTACCCTCGGTGTACGATTTTTAACTCTCTTCAATGTCTTAATCAAATGTGGCCAACTTTTTTAAAACTTAATTATTTCATATTCCAAAAATGTAGAAGGGAGGGAGGAGTTAGTTAGAGTAAAAAAAAAATTAATTCTTAATTTATTGCTAAGGGCCACTAATATATATATATTTTGCAGTATAATGAAATTTCGTACATACTTTAGGAACAGGTTGAGGAGTTTTGTTTTGTTTTATTTCTTTTGTCTAAAAAATAAGTAGATAATTAAAACTAAAGTGCTAAATGTAAAGAAACAAGTCAATCGTTACAAATAATGAAAAATAGAAATCCTTTCCTTACTTACTGAACACACTATATATACTACAATAATTATTATTACTTCTAATATTTTATACTAGTAATCGTTAGTTAATCGTTAGTCATTGGAACGCCAGTGTTGTCAAATTAAATAAACTTACATCCACCTCTGTATCCACATCTACTATTAAATACTTTTGAGTTTCTTTTAAAATTTTATTGGATTAAAAATGATTGGCGTTAAAAACTTTTTACCAGTACTTTAGAAGTTTTTTTTAACATTAAAATATTATTTATCATATATTTACTGCAATATCTTCAGGTTGACGAGCTTCTCTATCTGGATACTGAAAAGCAAAATAAATTTTGATGATTATATTTATCAGTCTTTGATGAACTAAAAAAAATGTGTGTGATTTTAAAAATATTCATTTCTAATTTTATGGGGCATCATAACATTGCCCCTTAAAAAACTTTTAACCAGTACTTTGGAAGTTTTTATTAGCATTCTTATGTATTGACGCGAGGAAAAATGTGGTTTAGTAATATAAATAGTTATAACCGCGCATTGTCCTTTTTTTTTTTTCAATGGCTACCACATTTTTTTTACAGTTTAAAAGAAAGTAAATTGGAGATGTTTGAGTATTATATCATAAAACGATACATCAAATGAAAACAAGTACTAATGCAACAAGTATTCATCTGGTGTGCTGTTTAAATATACTTACGGAAAAATTGGTTATAGGTTTACTAATAGATTGTTTTGACAGGTCCTTAAATACATTTTAATTACTTTTATTATAAATCTGAAGTACTTAAATTTTAATAGTATTTTGAAATGAGTACATAATTTTATTTGATGTGCTTATAATATTAATTTTGAACAGTTTTTCAAAAAATAAACAATGCACGAGGTCTAATTTTATACTTACAATAGAAATATTGTAATCAGAATACTCGTTCATTTTTTTCTGAAAATATTAGTTAATTTATTAAGCTATTAAAAAACAAACAAAAAATGTACACTAAATATCTTATTTTATTAATACTGATGAGTAATTTAAATATTCATGATAGTATAAATAAATTCTGGCCCAATATTTTTTTTTTTTGCAAAAAAAGGACATTCTTGATATTTATAGTTATAATATATTAGCTTCGATGCGAAGCGGAGAAGGTATTAATTTTACTATGATGTGTTTTTTTTTTTTTTTTTTTTTTTTTTTTTTTTTTTTTTTTTT